AAATTTTTGTTAAAGACCCGAGCGGAGCCGGAGCGGGCCGATAGTTTCATATAAATCAGTAACTTTATAACGTGGCACACTCTTCAAAGATTCCAATGGCAAAATCGATATTTCAAAAGCAATAAAAAAGAACCCAGACAAAGTTTAATCGCGTCAGACACGAACGCATTAACGATATTGTACGTTCAGTCATTAGCATGTACTATAAGCAAACTATTAAATGTCAACATTTTGTGGCTAATTGTAGGTTTGTACACATGAGGTGTGTTTTTTATTGGTTTCATTTTGTGATCCCAAATTTTAAATTTTTTGCGTATATATGAAAACAAATTTATGATGAAGTAATCTATCTTATATATAAAAATTAATTGCTGTTCGTTAGTCTCGCTAAAACTCGAGAACGGCTGGACCGATTTGGCTAATTTTGGTCTTGAATTATTTGTGGAAGTCCAGAGAACGTTTAAAAGGTAGATAAATATGAAAATGCTCGGAATAAAATAATAATAACAATTTTGTTTTTTCTTCGACGTGTCCGCCGTCGGACGGATTCCTTTTGTTACTTTTACGTTTATTTTATATAAAAGCTTAGGTCTTTTATTTATCGATTGAGGCACTACGAAGTCTGCCGGGTCAGCTAGTAATAGTATAATAGCTACCTCATTACCATTCAAATGAACCTCAAAGCGATGAGTGCTTTGAGGCAGAAGTAGAGTAACTCGCTCATACTTCCAGCATCAAATTTCCATTTGACCCCATACAGAAGAGGGCCATTCAGATTGCCGATAAACCCATTCTCACGGATCGTTTAGAGCCTCTGGGTCTGTGGAGGGACTTCGGTTCCCTCTGTATTTTATACCGTATATTCCATGAGGAATGGTTCCATCCCCTAAGGAATTGTTCGAGATGATTCCGGCATTTCGTTTTTACCATCGCACCGCCCGCCACCGGAGTAGAGTTCATCTATACTACCTGGAGCCACTGCGTTTATCCACAGTACGTTCAGTGTGATCCACAGATCATTTTTGCCACGTACCATCCGGCTTTGGAATGAGCCCACGATGTTTCCTGAGCACTATGGACATATCCTTCTTCAAACGAGTACTTAACGGTAGGCAGTGGCTTGGCTCTGCCCCTGACATTCCTGAAGTCCGTGGTAGAGAATAGTATCTAATGTAGTAAGACTCCATATTAGCACGTTAGTACCAGACCAGTGTATAACATGATATTTTATGTATATTATTCGTAGCAGCCGCGAAACCCTCGTTCAATTAAAGATATTTTATAATCGTAGTATAACAAAAAAAATTAACATAAAAATCAAAAAAATGAACAAATAATAATCTTATTTAATAAAAGAAAAAAAAACTCTTGATGAATAATTCATTACACTCTAGTAAATTTCTTGCCCTTGAATTTCGCTGAAAAAACACGACAAACTTCTACAAGAAAAATTTGGTATTTATATAATAAAACAAAAATTATCAATTCGTAATTCACTTTATACAATACTGGGTGTATTCTGTGGTTCGGTCCAGTCGGCTTTCGATTTGGATTGAAAAATATTTAGAAGATAAATTGGGAATATTGTAAAAGTATTCAAGTATCGACAAACAACCCCTTAGTCGGCTGAGACCACGGAAACTGTAAAGTATTTGAAACGTTAAAAATGGTAAAATTAGAATAATAAAGGCAAGATAAAGTAGCAAATAGTTTTTAACAACCAATTATTCACAGGCACGAACAAAAAAATTGCAGAATTTCGACATTAATATTTTAGAACTATTGCACTAAACGGTACATAATTTGAGAAAGCAATATTGCTACTGTTGACGATTTTTTTTTGTTTCGTGTATTAGGATTGTAGGTAGCCTAAATCAGCTAGTTTGCTCTGTCCTTCGCAACGTTATACTAGTGAAACAAGGTAGATTTCGAGTAAGAATTTCACCTTACCAAATGCAATTAATTCAAACTTAATAAAGAAGCCTTTATTAATAACCTTAATTCATATTTAGGTACATACTGTTACGCCGGTAAGACTAACGCCATCTATCGCCGAATAGTTGAACTAATATCGAAGGACCTAGTGGCATTTAGTACGCTCAAGAAGTACAACGCCATCTACTTTCAGATAGGAGAAACAAAATACTCGACTTGTGTGGAATATTCTCGATAATTATAGGGATGTGGTTATCGGCTATAAAAGGGTTGCAGAGATGGCATGCAGTCAGCTAGTAATCGGAACTACTCGAAGCGAAACAGCGAACGGATCACCTGAAGCGAAGCGGAAGAAGCGAATTGAGAATTTTAAAGTGTTTGTGTTTACCACCAGCGCGTAACAATATTATTAATTTAATTTTTATAAACATTGACATCGGCAAAGATTGTTTTGCTTTCGCATAGGCCTTCCCCATATCCTCCCAATAAGTCCCAGTCGTGGCATTTCCTCTTCCACGGAGAGCTTTCAACGGCCTTTATGTTGTCTACCCACCTTTGGAACGGTCGTCCTTTTAATCTTTTCTCCTCTCGAGGGTACCACCCGGTTACTAATTTAGCCCATTTTTATGTTTTGCTTCTCATTAGATGACCTATCCATTTCCACTTCAATTTTTTAATTGTGCATCATACATCGGTTATTTTTGTTTTCTTACGGAAATAACGTTTGTTTTCATATCCGCATTCAAACTAAAACCTACTCTAATTAGTTAAGATAAACAATAATGAATCAGTTCTAATAAAAATAAAATCTATTATTTTTTGTTGTCAAGAAAGAATACTGGAAAAATTGTCGGAGCGCGGAATCGTGCGCCGTGAAATGAAAAATATAATCTTATTATTTTTCATTTTCTTCGTACAACAACTCTGTTGAATGATTACAAAGCTTTTATTGTGTTCATAGACGATGTTCAGCTATTATAATTACCATGAAGATAACTTTTCTAAACTATTCTCATTAGCAAAGGCGCAACAAAAATAATTAACATTTTTATTGTCTATTTATATAGTCATTTAGCATTTAAAACCTTAAGATTTTTCGATAGTTCAGCATGAATGAGCTTAACGTATATGACTCAATAAATTCAAATCGAGTATTAAGGGAATTTAGAACGCGCTAGTTCGCTTGTTGGAATTGTCGTGTCTCGTGCGTGAATTGAGTTCACGAACGCTCACACTCAACCTTTTTTCATCAGCAGAGTGACCAAATAAGCTGCTGCCGCTTAAAGAATATAAGTATGTTCCTTTTGAAGAAACATGTTAGTCATCTTAATTGGCATCTCGAAATATCAAATATCTCTTAGTCAAGTCGCAAATACGAGTCGTGAACTCCATTAAAAAACATTACATTGGTTAAAAGCGATATCCAAATCTATAACTATCTCATTTTGTTTTCTAAGTTTCATCAGTTTATAATTATTCAAAACAGTGATTACTCTAACAATTGTTCAGAATTCCGGGGTCTAAAGGTCTCCGGAATGACACGATCGCGACACCGGATGTCTTTTCTTTATAAACCGGTTAATTATATTTTTTTATTTTATGATGTTTACTTAGTTTTCGATGTGTTGAAGCTCATTTCTAGCATTTTCAGCTATTTAACGGTGAAAGAAACGAACGGAACAAACTAAAGTTATTGAAAACATCGTGTAATTAAAATCGAAAATAATGGGAATCGTTAAATTCGTCCAATGATTCGACTTTTTAATTTATGTCCAGGAATGGACGAGTGACGAGCACTTAAAAGTAGTAACCGTCACCCATTTTTGCAAGAAATAAAACACGTGTGGCACTCGGGGACTGCCGCGGTAAAGCTATTGCATAGTATATTTTATCAACTTATGCAAATTATAATTAGACAATAATAATTTAATATTAAAACAATAATAAAATTAGACCACGTTATATTTATAAACATTAACAAAAACAACACATTAACCATCCCCTTCACACTCATAAGCTAGACCGCGCGAGAGAGAGATGGACAGATGTTTCATGATGTACATGCAGTGCGACGTCACGCCGCGCGCTTATTTACAAACACTACACAAGCGTAACGTGTGAATGTGTTGAACGCAAGCTACATGGTAGGCGGAGTGGGGGGTGTTAGGTTTTATTTTCGTTATGGAATTTCTTGATTCGGTCGCCGCGCTCAAAGCCCGCGATAAAAGCTATGCAATAGCTTAAAAACTTCAATATTTAAATTATTCTTATTACCTAATTTAGGTTGTACATACGGTATTCGAAGCGTCTAAAATTGAGAAATGCTTAAATTAACCCGAAATTAAACCGCAAAGGTATTTCAATGATTGAATTGAATTTCGCGTTGGATCTCGCGAAAATATTTTAGGATATAATGGAATTGACGTGTGTAGTATTGTAACGATTCGCTTCATTCCATTGTGTACGAAATGGCGTGTCAGTGTCACGAAACTAGATTAAGCTGAATACAGTTCAAAGGCGTCTATAACATTATTTACTTAAGATCACTAACAGCATATTATTATTTTCTTCTGTCTAACATCTTGTAATCCATAATTAAAAGTACTATAACAGTTTAATATCGTGTACTTTGACGTTTTTTTGGCCACGGACAACTGACCTATGGGAGATTAAGCTGGGGATAAAGCAGTTTTGATTATTTCTACGACTCGCACTATGTTTGTTTTTTAATTGCAGTAGATGAATTAAAAAGTTCACGGTAAATGTATGTGGTTATCACAAAGAGAATACTGTCACTCGTTTTGAGAATGAAGTCTCAATTGTTTTGTATAATTGCTGTTCTACAGTCCGAATCAAAACGCGGGAATGCTTCGCAGTAGAAATAAATAAGATTATGTTAAAACCAGTAATTATGAAAATTCATAAAATATTAATCCGATTACATAGCATAGAAGTCGTTCTCGAACACGTGTTCGCGATGGTTCTAGAAAATTCTAGTGAACGAGCAATACAACAAAGGAACTTCAGGAAATACATGCACTTATGGATTGTATTCCTTCCCGCAGGTCCAATCGAATCCCGTCATGTGCTACTTCAGCATAATTCTGATTATTTTCGAGACGTGCCTCGCGTGAAGAACCAGACGACATGGAGCTACGAAGACTCAAACTACTGTTGCTTCTGGCAAATATAACTGGAGTCGTTTTGGGTAAGCATTATGTATCGTGGTTTAATTATCTGCTTCTAAGTAAAATTATTATGCTTTTATCCGGTCACCGTCCTCGCCAAACGCTTGCGACGAAGGGCTCGAGAGTAAATTAACCCATAGACACAACCCACTGAGTTTCTCGCCGGATCTTCTCAGTGGGTCGCGTTTCCGTTTCGGTGGTAGATTCTGCGAAGCACTGCTCTTCTTAGGGTCAGTGCTAGCAACACTCCCGGTTTGAGCCCGTGAGCCCACCTACTAGTTCGATGAATCTAGAATAACTCTTCGAGGTTACTAGAATAGGTAAGAAAATTAATTCTTTTATAGTGGAAAACAGCTGTAGTTCTAATGCAAATCAAGATTTTTAAATCGGATCAAAATTGTTAGGTGAATTCACTCCGTCGCGCATTTGCAAAATTTTTTAAATTTTAGAATCATAATCCTTGTCAAATATCTTTTTAAGTGGATACTTTACTTCGTTTTTCTTTGGGATCGAGAGCACCGGACAAAATCTACGATTCGAACGTTTGAGTTTTTAATATCTAACATTAACTTTGAATTGAATAATAATTAATTGTTACTATACATTTATTTCGGTATTGGGTAATACCGAAATCCGCAGAAGAACCGGTTGACTGACATAGCCAAAGTGATTGCTCGGTAAAAGTGAAAGTGAGCCGGTCACTTACGCCGTCGCATTGACAATCGATAGGGCACAAAAGTACTGGAGTGGAGACCTTGTACTGGACGTCGTAACGTGGGCAGACAGACATGACCTGGTCAAAACGGTTGGTAGAGATTTGATGAGAAAGGCAAGAGACCGAAGAGAATGGGCTGCATTCGAAGAGACATACACTCAGCATTAGGTGGACACGGGTTGAAGAAGAGATGCATTTATTAATTTAAGAACATTTTCGTGGCCGGAACACAGAAAAAGCAATCAATAAATCCCACCTCGCTTAGTTAATAGTTTCCATCTGTCGTCTACACGGAAAAGGGTCTGACAAAGCGGCTTTACTTCGGCTGCATAAAGCCCTGTTTACAACACTCAATAAGGAAACTAAATAGACCAGTTGCTCGACCTAAGATACTCCCTAAAACCGAATCTTTACGAACAAAGGGTTGGGTGAAACTAGTCTGAATTTTGAGAACAAAATATTTTGTAACTCCATTTCTTGCTTTGGAAGACAGAGAAGCTTACAATATACCTGATAGTGAATTGTCACTGTCCCCTCATTGACACTATAAATCGCTTAGCGATTAAGGGACATAGTGGAGGTCATCTACAGAGATATGGTAAAGCAGACGATGGTATATAAATTATTGTCTGTAGACGCTGTTGACTTCTTAGTATCAGATGAGCTTTGAGCTTATCAGATCATAGACAATAGTGATAAATAAATAAACTCGAAACTTTCTGGAAACATGAGAAAAGTTCGAAACTTAAATTTAATAAAAATTTAGCCGGCAGTGTCGTGGCTGTTCTTTGTTGCCGATCCCCACGGGTAGAATTTATTATTATGTTTATAAATTGCTTCAAAATTGTAAGCGATGGAAGTGCCAACATACATAACACTTATAAAATTATATTATTCAATAATCAAAAAGCAAAGTTTTAGCAGATGATTAAACTTATAGTGTGGCGCGAATCAAAAGCATCCTTTTGCAATGAAAATAATTTAAAATAAGGCTTTTATCAATATTATTACTGAATACTCTACAATTCGAAAAACAAATTTCGAGCTATAGAAATCTAAGCAAAAGTAAATCAGCAACGGTTGGCTTAACAATCGCTTCACATTATATTGTTAGTCTGAAGTTCCTCTGTCTTTCGGGGCAACATAAATATGAACAGCAGGAGAACAAAGTTTGCGAAAATAAAACTATATTAGGCAAGGAGAAACAAAACATCATTGGCAATGTGTTTCACGTTCCCGATCGACAAACTTCGCTCTCACGTACATACAAAGTTCTGTCCGACGTTTCTGTGTTGCCAGGGCGAAAACAAAAATCTTAAAATGTCGTTTATTTTAATCGAATTAAAAAGCGTATTTTCCAAAAGAATAAGTCTTTTTTTTTGTTGCTTATATGGGTGGACGAGCTCACAGCCCGCCTGGTTAAGTGGTTACTGGAGCCCATAGGCATCTACAACGTAAATGCGCCACCCACCTTGAGATATAAGTTCTAAGGTCTCAGTATAGTTACAACGGCTGCCTCACTCTTTAAGCCGAAACGCATTACTGCTTCAAGGCAGAAATAGGCAAAACCACACGGACTCCAGAGGTCCTACCACCGTATTCTGTGAAGAAACTAGATTATAATTTGATTTTGGCAATTTTATCGAGAATCATTGTCATTTACCGTTGCTTGTCATGATATTTGACTAGATCTGATAATTCCCAACGCGTGTTTCATAAACGTTGTTTAGCTGTAATGTCAACTCATATAATATCATGCTCCATATACTAAATAATGAGCCAATAAAGAAAAATCCAAATGATGAGAGCACCACTTTTCATATAAATTTTCTAGACACAGCCTATGCTGTTGATTGATTAAGTGTACATTTTGCACATATAAATGTATTTTAATATTAATAAGTGAACAAGGTACTGGCCCACCTAATGCACTAGGCAGCTTAGTTTATGTAGGGATTGGCGAAAACCTAGGAACTTTATACGTCAAATAAATTAAAAGTTAGGCTTGAACGTCTTATTAAGGATACAACAGTTGTTATAACACTGAAAACACCCCAGAAACTGATTAACAAAATTTCTAATAAATAAAAACATACCGTTTAATGTGATCAATTTTTAATACCCAATTGAGCTTACTATTACCATTTCTTATACCATTGGCAACCCTTGTGGCTCCGTAATAAAATTTATTCGTGCGTCCCAACCATTAGCGACTTTTACCTTAACAGATACCCTAATCTCCCTAATTCTGGGGAGTTGCACCCGTGCTTTAATCTGGATTACGTTTCGAATTACGCAGTCGAGATAATCGTTTGTAATCCACGTTGTTTGAATATTTTAATTAAGAGTCATACATGTGGTTTGCCCCGTCAAAAGGCAGAAACGGTTGTAACGTTTTATTTCTTTGTGAAAATGTGTTATTATTACAGCAAGTATTAACGATGAATTAGGTAAATGAATAGGAATAGGTTAGGTACCTTAAAGTTTCCATACATAAAATATGTGCGATCTCATAAAATATTCTTCGGTAATTGTACGCATGCGACCTGAACATATAATAAAAATAACAACTCAACGTAAATATCTATAAGTATATATATTAAACTAAGATAAGTACAAATCTTATTTTATAATACAGTATACCATAATAAAATTATAATCAACCAAAATGAATAAAAATACATGTCTGTTCTGTAAAAAACCTATTTGAAAAGTAGAAAAAATCTTCAGCTTGACACGCCGTCAGATGTTTTTTTTTTCAACATTACAGTCACAAGTTGTAGTTAAATATAGTATATATGTATGTATATAATAATAGTGGTTAATAATAAGATACATTCATGAAATTTTACAATAATATTTAAATTAAAATAATAATAATTATTATTATTATTACTAATACACTTTAAAATTTTTAGGGCATTCGTGTAAAATAAAGGCCATATCCATAGTTCGTTCCTTAGATCCATTAATAAATTTTTCATTACCAGTTTTCTTATTAACAAAAATAGCAATCAATAGCGCCGATAGCTTGAACCCCCTTGTACCAAAAATGTGGCTTCGGACCACGTTAACTAATTTTTCTCCATCCCTCGCCGACAGAGATTAGATCGTCGAAGTTTTCGTCGAATAACGATAAAATAACGCCCAATTTATTTCCCAGACCGGTCCATTTGGCACACCCGCCGTCTTGGAGCAGCTACGGTCTATCTCCCAGAGGCGTTGGAAGATTTGCGGCCTAATATTGTATTTAAACTATCGGCAAATAAAGTTATAGAAAAATCTATGATTGTTCTATTGAAGTTTTCCAGAATAGTATACATCGACATAACACATAATAGGTATGCTATAAACGTTTTATAATTTAATTAGCTGTACCCGTCCGCTTCGCTGGGCATTTAAAATTAACATTATTATTTCTCAGCCCTTAGTCATACATAGTCTTCTTTTTTCTTTTTCTTTTTTTGTTTTTTTTTTAAGTTATACTTATTTAGGCGCGTTATGAAAAATTTGTGAGAGTGAAATATTACGATGTGCGCACAGCGTGACACAAAATTAACAGAAATGAAGTTGCCCATCAAGTTGAGGAAAAAATGCTACCAACAAAACAGAAATGGAGCCTCTGTTAGTGGCGCATGTTGGCACGCACGCCGCCTCTGTTCACTGTGTATTTATATTTGCAATGAATGGCGAGGAGCGTAATAATATTGTCAGCCACTCCGACATGCGGACATTATGGGCGCGACGTTTTTTTTTTGCATTTTATTAAATTTTTTTTCCCGCGTTATGACAACACCGACACAAACTCGAGATAAGATACTTTTGCAAAAATAGATCTAAACGTATTGGATCTTACCTTATTGTGGACTAGCGACCCGCCCTCGCTTCGCTTTGGAAACATTAAATTTTATTATTGATAGCTGAGTCCAGCCATGTTACCCGCGCTTATTGTCGTACCGCGGGTGAAGCCGCGGGGCGAAGCTAGTCTAAAAAAAGTAGCCTAAGTTACTCCTTATATCATCAGCTACCTATCAGTGAAAATCCCGTCAAAATCGGCCCAGCCGTTCCAGAGATTAGCCGGAACAAACAGACATACAGACAAAAATTGTAAAAAATGTTATTTTGGTGTATGTACTGTATATATATTCATATAAAAAGCGGCTACTTCAATATTACAGACAGACACTCCAATTTTATTTATATGTATAGATGTATAGATTATGTTATTACCTATAATAGGATTATGTGATAATTAGAATCAGGGTTATGAAGTAGGATTATGTTTCATTATCTCAGTCAATACGG